CTTGCATCACATCACATTATAGCCTGACCAGGAACATAAAAACCCTCGCCATGTTGCGGAAAACTAATGGTACTAATTTCTTTTAATGGCAACAGTATAGATGACCCACGCTGAACTGTCCCACCAAACTCAATGACAGGGGGGCGCTACCATCGTTCAACTATATGGTTTCCAATATGGCAAAAATCTGAACCAGCGATCCGGTATTGACGGTGGCGCCCCACTGTCAATGTCATCGACAGGACAATCCAGTATTTTGGAACTATAACTGAAAACTTCATTGACATGTCACCTTGCATGTCAGTCTATTGCTGTCAAAGTGTAAACAAAGTTTATTTTAAATGTGCGCAATTGGTTTTATGAATTAAATTGCTAAAATATTTTTATAGTCGTGAAAGAAAAGTGGTTCACAATGTATTAAAGTATTTGTCGAAGAGAAATACTAAGGGTTTGGACAATATTTTCATTGAATAATGTTTCCGACAAAGATTGTCAAATTGACTGACATGTTTATCGTATAGTACAGTCCAATAAGAAAATTAGCTGTGGTTTGTTTCAACTACCTATTTTAAAAATTTTTGTCACTTTCTAAGTGTTGAATTTTATGGGATTGGGAAAGAAGTACCGAGTTTGAAGCGTTCATGAGCAGACATTGCAGTTGAATATTCAAGTTCTGAATTTGATTATTGATTAATAATAAAATAAATTCTACTAGCTCGATTGATGGTTTCATTTAATTTATTTAAATCAGGTTACCTATAATAATATTTTTTTGTTAATTTATGAAAATATCAAATTAGCCCGTAATCCTGAATCCTGATACATAAAGTTAGCCTATTAATTTAACACAGGTACGACTGTACTCAGTGTTGCACTATCAAATGCAATTGACGCGCCTCTATGCCAGGGTTTTTATGCTCCTGGTCAGGCTATACATTACTTAACCATCTGTAAGTTTGTTGTAAAAATATCTGTATACCTAATTTAATAATTTGTAAATAAAGTCCTTTGTAAGTCAATTTATTGATATTTTGACGTAGGTACCTGACTGATGCGACAGTGTTGGGCGTATTTAATTAAATAGGTAACCTACCTAATAATTTTAATAAACATAAATTTATACAGTTAACTAAACTAAGTAGTTTCTGATAAGTTTAAGATAAGGGGGCGTCCATTAATTACGTGAGACAATTTTGGCAATTTTTCAACCCTCCCGCCCCCCTTGGTGAGATTTGGTGAGATTTTTCCAGACCCCCTCCCCCTCCCCACAATCTCACGTGAGATTTCTTAAAATATATATTTGCAATGTAAGGGTTAGCTTCGATTAGGATTTAATATAAAAAAAACAGTTTCTTTTAATTTATTTATTGTTTTATCGGTTCAGAATAAAAAAATAATAATTTATCATTATCATTTTAAAATACATTAATTTTTTTAATTTAAAATAACCCACTTTTGTCACAATTTGACCCTTTTTCTTGCTGAAAAAAATTACGTGATATTTGTCGAGACCCCCCCTCTCCCCTACATGAGATTTAGTGAGATTTTTCTTGACCCCCTCCCTCCCCTAAACGTCTCACGTAATTTATGGACGCCCCCTAACCAGTGATCGGTCGGATGCATAAATTTATNAGTCGTGAAAGAAAAGTGGTTCACTATGTGTTAAAGTATTTGTCGAAGAGAAATACCAAGGGTTCGGACAATATTTTCATTGAATAATGTTTCCAACAAAGGTTGTCAAATTGACTGACATGTTTATCGTATAGTACAGTCCACTATGAAAATTAGCTGTGGTTTGTTTCAACTACCTATTTTAAAGTATTTTGTCACTTTCTAAGTGTTGAATTTTATGGAATTGGGAAAGAAGTACCGAGTTTGAAGCGTTCATGAGCAGACATTGCAGTTGAATATTCAAGTTCTGAATTTGATTATTGATGAATAATAAAATAAATCCTACTAGCTCGATTGATGGTTTCATTTAATTTATTTAAACCAGGTTACCTATAATAATATGTTTTCGTTAATTTATGAAAATATTAAATTAGCCCGTAATCCTGAATCCTGATACATAAAGTTAGCCTATTAATTTAACACAGGTACGACTGTACTCAGTGTTGCACTATCAAATGCAATTGATGCGCCTCTATGCCAGGGATTTTATGTTCCCGGTCAGGCTATACCTAAAGTTGAGGTATTGACTTTTGTATTGAAAAAATATTTCGCAATATAAATCGGATGTAGTGTAGGTATATTTACTTATTTAAATTTTTAAAAATCTTTTAAGAAGACGCTTCCAAGATTTCTTAGCAAAAAATTGACTTTAGGTAGGTAAATAAATATGCATCCGATTATCCGATCACTGAAGATTACAAACAATGCATGCAAATTGTTGTACTGCGTAACCCTTACACTCACACATGCAACAAAGGAATGTAACGCTTCAAATGACGGGACTGTTGGGAATCCCCTAGCATAAAGTCGCTCACCAATAATAAAGCTGGATTCACTTCAATAGCATGTTTCGTGTCGTGTGTGATGTGATGATTTTGGCTAGGCTTCCTTGTTTATTAATTGAATACGAAAGGTTTAAATTTAAATAATTAAATATTGTCTTTATCTTTATTAGCAAAATATAATTTAATAAGCCCATGGGTTTACCCGCGTATCTATAAATTATTATCGTTTAATTAATAATTACCTAATTAATACTATTTACTGTACAGTGTCCATGTTATGAATCGTATGTTCATTAAATCCCAACTAATATTATAAATGCGAAAGTAACTCTGTCTGTCTGTCTGTCTGTTACGCTTTCCCGCTTAAACCTCGCAACCGATTTTGATGAAATTTGGCATAGAGATAGTTTGAGTCCCGGGAAAGAACATAGGATAGTTTTTATCCCGGTTTTTGAAACAGGGACGCGCGCGATAAAGTTTTTCTGTGACAGACAAAATTCCACGCGGGCGAAGCCGCGGGCGGAAAGCTAGTAAGTAATATGATAAACGGACCAGATTATCAGTAATAACACAAAAAAAATATATGTTAACAACATTAATTACTGACATTACTCCCTTTAGTTACGACATTTTTAATCTTCCAACATACCAAAATGAACGGTCATCTGTGACCCAGACCGAGACATTGCTCAGTTTTTTTGTTAATTCTTAAATAGTTAAATTACATATTTTTTATATTCGTGTATGTTTAACACCAAAATATTGCCCAATATTTTTGTTCAGGCGTTACACAAAAACTAATAAAAAATGCCTATTTATCTACAAAATTCGTAATCACTTATCGTTTCCACCCTGTATAATCCAGCTGTATCTCCAGGTCATTATAGATACATCCCATAGCAACTGTATAGATATTTAGGTAGATAAATAGGCATTTAGTATTAGTTTTTGTGCAACGCCTGACAAAAACATAGGGCAATATTTTGGTGTTAGCCAGACAAAAAAACTGAGGTATGTCTCGTTTCTGTCGGATCTGGGTTTTTTTTCTATGGGACGTGACCGTTCTTCTTTTATTGTATCATTATCACACTAGCTTTTGTCCGCGGCTTCACCCGTCACAGATCATCATAAATTATAGCCTATATGTTTTAAACAATAATACTGTGAAGTTTTATCAAAGACCGTTCAGTAGTTTTTGCCTGAAAGAGTAACAAACATGTTAACATCCAGACATCCATACAAACTTTCGCATTTTTAATATTAGTAAGAAGTAAAATCATTGTTACTGTCATTCTTTCATTCTAACAACCACATTTTGTCAGTAGAGTAATAATTAATTTAATAATTTTAAATTCAATTGATGTCATTAATTAAATAGTGTCTGTTTTGCTTTCGTTCGTTCGTTCGTTTCAGCCGAATGACGTCCACTGCTGAACAAAGGCCTCCCCCAAGGATTTCCACAAAGACCGGTACTGCGCCGCCCGCATCCAGGCACTTCCCACGACCTTCATCAGATCGTCCGTCCACCTAGTGGGAGACCTGCCCACACTACGTATTCCTGTTTAGCTTTCATTGATTATGTCTCGTTTACGTGTGAACATTGTACCATGTCTTATTTTTTCTTACAAAGGGGTGGGCGTAAGATCACAAAATTGGGCAAAGTTAAAATAAATACTTTGAAAACCGCCTCTGTGGTCTAGTGGTAAGACCACCTGCTTCAGACGCAGAGGTCCCGGGTTCGATTCCCAGTGGGGGCAGATTTTTCTGTTCGGTTTGGTTGGTGGTAGGGCTTGTTTTAAGTCCACCTGGCTAAGCTACCACCATCTTACCTAAGTCTGTCACCATAACAATAATGTTAACAGCATTGTTGTGTTCCGGCAGTTAGAGGTAAGATAGCCAGTTCCTCCGTGGTTGAGGATTCCGAGTGAAGCTCGCTTCCACCTTACCATCAGGTGAGATACAGGCCAAGAGCGTCCTCGTTGTAGATAAAAAGAAAAACCGCGAGCAACCGCACGAGTGCCGACTTTTGCACGGATCCGTTATAGCGACACTTTATTTTTTGGTTTTCAGGAGATAGAAAAAAATACGTACCTACCTACCTAAATATTACTTGCGCATATAGCAGCTATTTTCACAAAGTTTGATTGCTATCTAAAAAGAAATATCCACGCGAAATATTTTAAGCATATTGTATGTAGAGTTTGTAGAGGTATTGTCACTTCACCCATTGGACTCTCGCCTCCCGGGAATTCCCCGCTTGTGTAGGTACTAGTTGTCAAACATGTAGGTACATATTATTTTTTTCCTTTAGATTCTTACGTAATAAAATATTAAACAGGGTGGGGAGGGGCTCGGTGTATTCTTATTTTTTCTTATAATAGGGGGAGGGGGTCAAAAACTAGCGAAAATAGTCTTACGTAAATACATTATTGGCCCCTATTTATTCAGGATTCAGGGGTTAACCAACTCAGAGCGAATGTAGACTGTTAATAAAATAACTTAATATTTTAATACACAATTTTATTTTTTTAACTGTAATCCAAGGAATATTACAAAATAGTACTAATAATACAAGAAACTAATAACTATATTAAAGGCCGGAATTTCGCGTAGCACCGTGCAGAATTTTCCCTCCTATCGCACTGCAATAAATTTTTTGTTAAATTAATATACAGAGTGGAAACGATAAATAAGTAATCTCACTCGATTTATTGTAAATATTTCTTAACTATACAAGATATCGAAAAACTGAATATTGATCCTGTAAGTGCTTCACGAGTTCAATCAAACGGTATCGGTTACAGAATGAACTGGATCTATCAGAAAATTTTATGTTTCCAGCTTCCATACTAAATGTAGGTACATCATGCCAGCTACATATTATTAAAAGTGTATTTTTTTATTGTGAAATAAACTCTTAAAATAAACTCGTGGGTAAATTGCATTCTTAAATTGAAAATATTTATGGAAAACATTGATTTTAGGCTTGACTTCATTATCAAGAGATAAGTGTCATAACTGTAGATGTGGTTGTAGTAAATATAATTTTTGGATAGATCCAGCTAATTCTGTAATTTATTATTGACACCGTTTGATAGAGCTCGTGAGACACTTTCAGGATCAGTAACCAGTTTTTCGATATCTTGTTACTTCATCATCATCATCATCATTTCAGCCACAGGACGTCCACTGCTGAATATAGGCCTCCCCCAATGACTTCCACATCGCACGGTTGGTAGCGGCCTGCATCCAGCGCCTTCCCGCTACCTTTATCAGGTCGTTGGTCCACCTTGTGGGTGGACGTCTTGTTACTTACTTAGTTAGAAATAATCGAGTGAGGTATATTATCGTTTCTACCTTGTAGAGTCACCGTCGCTAACATTAAATTAACTATAATAGGTACTATACATTAATGTAGTTTTGAAAATGTAAAAAATAAAATTAAAAATTAATGTAAGTACAAAACTTATAACTTATTATGATAGACGGCTGAACGTTAATTAACTACGTACCGTTAAATTGTAAAAACTTAGTCGTCACTGAGGTGAGGTGGGATTCGACATCGAATTCCTCAGCCTCCTAACCAAGAAGACAAGTATGAGAACATAGAGAACTGAAACAAGTCATTCAAAATTAAGTATTTCAGCCGTAGAACGTCAACTGCTGAACATAGGCCTCCCCCAATGACTTCCAAAAAGCCGGTTGGTAGCGGCCCGCATTAATATTTTTTTCATACTAGAGGGGTGTCATAAAAAAGGTTGAAAAACACTGGTGTAGGTAAATAAAATTAAACTCCAAACCTAGTAAAGTGACCACTTTTTTACTGAAACTCAAGAAAAGTGGAGCGATAATCATCTATCATTCATTTTAATATCAGCCATCACAACATGACTAGAATCTCAGATCATAGAAGATCTGAGACTTGAATAAACAAAGATTTGTTTAACTACTACGACACAGGCTATGTACCTACAAACTGCTCAAAATCATAAAAATACTCACCGGTTATTATCAAAGCCGATATTGCCATAATTATTTGGCCTTGAACGAACATCAAAATTGCACCAAGACACAAAAAAATCGTCAACACTATGCCAAATATATAGTAACACGTGACAAATATTTTCTTTCCCTGAAAGCAGACAAAATTTAATTATATTTATACCTTTTTTTAACTAATTTCATGATGTCGTCAATACAGGTCTATTACAATGACAAAATCTCTCTTTTTGTTTTAATTACGGCTTTTGACCAGGCTGGCTGGTCCGCGTGTGTGTAGTCCGTTTAATAGGAAAAACATATCGCACCATGAGAATGAAAGCGATTCATTTTAAAAAGGATAGTGCCAATCTATGCATGGAAGTTGGACCAAGTGCTGTCCAGTGGGTCTAGACAAAGTGCAAATTATAATCGCAAACCAGTCGAAAAGTGGTCGAAATGCCCCTTTTTTGTATGGAGTTTTGACGGATTCGATTTTCGATTCGATCAAAAAGTGCGTTTTGTCTAGGGGGGCTGAATCAGTATCGAATTCCATACTCCACATTTTTTAAATCAGTCGCTTTCATGCTCATGGTGCGATATGTATGACATTATGAAATGCCCGCATCATTCAGTGCGTGTCGTTCAGTTTCAGAACTCTTTCAAATTTTTTCAGACGATTTTTTCGTCTATTTGCAGGACCGCACACTGAAAATTGTATTACAGCTGCGTTGAAATCTCAGATCATAGAAGGGAAGTTGAAATAGATTTTTATCAATTACCAACCGAACGCAAACGCACGATTGACGTCCTGCTCAAAACGCCTAATTAGAAAGAGCCCTTAAGGGGCTTTAGTAAGTAAAAATGGCAACATTGACTGCTCTATTAGCTGTTACCTAAAGAATTGACGATAATAATTTCGCACTGAAATTTTCAGCCTATGTATTATTTACAGAACGTATGTGTGATGGACACAGATATGGATGACGTTTAAAAACGGCATGCTCGTTTTCATACTTTAACCATATCTATGTGCGGAAACGTCACGAAATCTGAATTTTCGCTGACCGCCTATCCCCCTTAATAATTACGGAGCGGAACCGCTGCAACGCCCGCTGCGAACGCTGCAACGTCTACAACGTCTACGCCCGTGTGGCATATGGAATTGGAATTGCATTGAACTTTTAAGTGTTTATCTGATTCAATTACCTTTTTAATTCCAATGATAAGTAGAATAGAGAATATAATGGCTATTACAGATACTACTATTTCCCCTATGATTTGTGGTTTGGATGCCCCGCTGGAACCATCTCCCGCGTCCTTATTGATCGGGCCGATAACCATCATTCGATATTTCTTCCTACCATGTTCTCCACCACCACCCGATCCAGACATTAATATGAAGTTAGCAATTATGTCGTAAAGGGACCATATCTGAAAAAAAAGTGATTGATAAACCGATTAAGAATTTCAATGACAATAACCAAATGACCAATGTATATCAGAATGAATCACAACGTTACGCAAGTTAAATTGTCAAATAAATCTTCATAGATTGAAATTGATTAAGTATGAAAGTAATAATACAATTAAATTTTAAACTTACTATATGTACTACTCCTAAGACATAGCCCGCAATTGGCAATTCCAGATAACAACATTTTGTTCCAGTACACATCCTCAATCTGTTAAAAGAGAGGGAAAAGCAAAAGTTACAGAAAAACACCTATAACAAAAAACGCAACAGAACAAGGTAAAATAGCGTGTGCAAAATATTTTCTCAGCTCAGACGCGTGTACGTGATAAAATTAATGAATATACCGAAAATATAAATCTTTGATACCAATTTTTTTTTCTTTCTTTCAAAAGCTACCGTAAAAGCTAAGCTAACGTTATACTTATACGATCAAAAAATATGTTTTTATACCTACAAATAATTGCCATTAAAAGGTGTGGCGTGTGTAAATAGCCACACCAAGGCAACGGGAGGAGAAAAATGCGGAGGGCGACTGGTGACTCCAAACAACTCAAAATTACAGCTGCATAAAATGGTAACCACCAAACTGCGGACCTGGAGAGGCACGAGAGTCGAACCGTCGAAATATTTAAGTAGGTGCGGTTTTTTCCAAGAAGAAATTCACAACAGTTTTTCATTTTATGTCCATGACAACCACTCAAAACATAAGTGCGCGGTTTTGCCGCGCGGAGGGTGCACATTGGCCAGTGAAATTGGCTCCAGCGAAGGTGCTGGTCCCGAATATACGATAAACAGATCGGCGTGAAACCAATTTATGCTGCTATTAAATAATATATTTGGAGTCTATTGAAGGAAAGGAAGTTTAAGAGAAAGAAAAAATGTTTTGGACTACTTTGGGCATAGGCCCAACCAATAATATTTGGGCAACAATTAGATATTGTTCCCATCAGCCAGAAAGTTTTGATCGTTCTATCTCATGGCAGACGAGTATATAAGGGTGGCTGCCAAAACCACGTTATTCCAAACTTTATAATGGTCCAATGTTCTTACTGGTGTTGGGTAGCACGTTCTGAGCCTCTGAAAAACTTTCAGCTTTTTAAAATAACGAAGTTCTGGCGTACAGGGAAGAGCCCTTAATGTACCTTATCACATCTGGTCAATAAAAACATAATAAGAAATTGTCTTACCAAATCTTTCTGTGCCTGTAGTCAATTAATGTTTTTATGTAAATATAAAATCAAAAACTGCGCTGAACTCTTTGAATTGAACTATCAATAAAATGTTTAATTTATTAAAATCATGTATATCGTCATGCTGTCAAAATATTATGCTCCTTGCTCTTTGATTTATGGCAGACTATGAGACTAATCAAGGAGAATTAACTATAAAAACCTACACTGAACATATTTTCTTTGCACTGAACCGTCCCAGCCCGTATATAGTTCCAAAATACTGAACTGTCCTATGCATGACATTGACAGTGGGGCGCCACCGTCAATACCGGATCGCTAGTTCTGATTTTTGCCATGTTGGAAACTATATAGTTGAACGATGGTAGCGCCCCCCTGTCATTGAGTTTGGCGGGACAGTTCAGCGTGGGTCATCTATATCCCAGCTATGTCATTGACAGGAGGGCGCTGCTATCTATGCTGGCTTATTAGTTCCGATTATTGCCACGTTCGGCAACCTTTGTGACATTTACGGGAGGGCGCTACTGTCAATACTGGGTTGCTAGTTTTTGATTTTGTTTTATTTCAACGTCGCTATAATTGGGGCTAAAATACAGTAAGATAGAAAGCGCCCTTCTGACAGTATCATAGCTGGGACGGTTCAGTGTAGGTCATCTATAGCAAGTGTATTCGTTATTTTTGAACTTAAAATGTTATTATGTTTGTGTCATGAGCGAGTTCACCATAAGTCGAGCGGTGAGGTTCGAACCCGCGTTCCTCGGATGTCGAGCGGCCAATCTGACACCTTCCCTCCCTATTACCGTGCCTTCACTGTTCGGCTATCGTGACTTTAAAGTTTTGTAGTTATTAGTGTTGTTGTTTGTGTTCTATAATCAAATACCTACATATTTTATTATTACATCAGTTTCGTTGGTTGACCTATACCTAGCTACTGAACAGTGAAGTAAGAACTTAGTTCATACCAAAAGTAATGTTATAAATAATACCATTTATTTTAATCGTTATTTTCCTTTATTAATCTTATTCGAAGAAATACAGTTAAGTTGAGGCTCACTTCTCTTGACCTGCATTGCATATTTCAACCGCCCATCTCATTCAAAAACCCCTTGATAACGAAATGAAGTATGATCACATAGACAACTGGAACAAATAATTATTAATTTTTATGCAAATTAAATATGAAACAATGCTAGTTTGAAATGGTAAACTAAATACTGCAACAGACAAGTAGATAAGTGCAAACTGTTTTGTAGATAATATTTATAATTACCTACTTAGGTTTTTCTTTTAAATGTTTTATCTTGTAAATACTATGCCATTTGCCATAAGGTAAGATGGTAGAAGCTAGACAGAGGGACCTACCTCTAAGCGATTCGAGTAGAAAACTTTGAAACCACTGGGAATCGAACCCGGGATCACCTGGGTCTGAGACAGGTGAAGAACATCTTCAGTTTTGTGATCCCAACTATATAATATTATAAATGCGAAAGTAACTCTGTCTGTCTGTCTGTCTGTCTGTCTGTCTGTCTGTTACGCTTTCCCGCTTAAACCTCGCAACCGATTTTGATGAAATTTGGCATAGAGATAGTTTGAGTCCCGGGAAAGAACATAGGATAGTTTTTATCCCGGTTTTTGAAACAGGGACGCGCGCGATAAAGTTTTTCTGTGACAGACAAAATTCCACGCGGGCGAAGCCGCGGGCGGAAAGCTAGTCACAAATAAAAAATAGTAACTCACTCAGTGAAATAAGTGTAAAAACCTCGGCCAAAATTTCTCCTGAATAAAACCAGACTGCAACAAATACAACGCTGGCTATCACTGTCAATATGCCATAGACGTAATATGTCATCACCAAACACCGATTGTCCTGTAACCAAAGATTTAATAGTCAGCCCCCCTAGCCAAAACGCACTTTTTGATCGAATCGAAAATCGAATCCGTCAAAACTCCATACAAAAAAGGGGCTTTTCGACAACTTTTCGACTGGTTTGCGATTATAATTTGCACTTTGTCTAGACCCTCAGGGCTAGTTTCGTAGGCTCCTGATAAAGTTTCAGATAGGCTATAGTGCAACGATTCTGAAAAAGTGGCAAAAATCGGAACTAATAACCCAGTGATGGTATTGTTAATAGGGGTGTTACCTGGGTAAAAAAGCAAGAGTTTGAATTAGTCCGTCAGTTTACTTATCAAAAAATACTCGACTTTTTCAAACTAATGAAAATTTAAATAGATAAAGCGCGCCAAAGTTAAAGTTCATGAGAAGAGGTCCGTGACGTCAAGGCCTGCTTATAAGTGTAACACTGTATGACTTCACGCGGAACTTCAATGCACCATAACTTCGTAATTACTTGTTCGATTGACAAAATCTATACTTCTATACCTACCTACTATAATAATTATAAATGCGAAAGTAACTCTGTCTGTCTGTCTTGCTTTCACGCCTAAAGCACTGAAGCGATTTTGATGAAATTTGGCATAGAGATAGTTTGAGTCCCAGGAAAGGACATAGGATAGTTTTTATCCCGGTTTTTGAAACAAGGACGCGCGTGATAGTTTTTCTGTGACAGACAAAATTCCACGCGGGCGAAGCCGCGGGCGGAAAGCTACTAAAAATATAGGTGTACAATATTTTTTGATAATATAATAGACGGACTAAACGTTTTTTTTATAGGAAACTAGCCTATTGATAGTAGCGTAGCGCCACAAAACAGATTTTGTGGTAGCGCCTGTAAAGAATTTGCCACACTGGAATGCGTTCTGCGGTTACCGGTCCGGTCAAATAAACCTCAGATTTATCTACTGTGAATAAACGCAGCCCGCATCGTGTAGAACAACATTGTTGGTCAACTTTCCGTCATCCTAATGTGATAAAGCCCGGTCTGTGAGCACGTATAATTTTGTCCAATGACCCCAAGCTACCCTCGCACACTCACTGCGGGCGCCCGTCGCACAGTCGCGACAGAAATATAATTACGCGCGAGCGATAAGGATGGGTAGCTTGGGGTCATTGGACAAAATTCTACGTGCTCACAGACCAGACTATAGGTATGAATAGTACTTGCCGTCGCAACACCAATGATGAGCAATAGCGCCATTAGAGCGCCTATCGCAGCTGGCACCAAGAACATCACAACCATTGTAGCTATCGAAGTGGTTTTGTCCACCGAATCCTTCTTAAAGATTGGTGCGATCGGTGACATGAGGCTTTTACTAGCATCATCCGGTTTTTGTGCTATTTGCACTATCATTACAGTGATAATAATTCCCATCGCAACGTTTAAAATCTGAAACATCGATGCACGTTAATGGTATAGTAAAACGTCTTAGTCATCCCCCTATATTAAATAGCATTAGTACCTAAACAATACGTAGGTTTAATCACGTTTAAGTTAGTAATGATCTGGCTGATTTCTATTAAGTTAACCTGTATGGATAAGATGCGCGCCACGATAAGCGGTTATCACGCCATTTTATCGATTTTGCTCATACATTTTGACGTCGATGATGCCTAAGATGCGCGCCGTGATAACGGCGCGCATCTTAGGCCTACTGGTCGTTGTATTAATTACAAGCTTTGCTTAGTTGAAGATAGTTAAATTGGCGCTAAATGTAAGTTTCAGCACGTCTAAAATGTCGTGGTAAGAACGCAGGATGTATTGAAATAGTTTCACTATTCACATGGTTCACTGTCACTGTCAATGTTTCACAATTATGAATATACACAGTGTCCCAAAATTTAACGATAAGCCGGCGGCGTAGAGTGGACATGGTCAAGACTACTAGAAAATAAGAAAAAAAATCTAAAAAATAAGAAAAAAAATCTATTCATCGATAAGCCGGCGCCCTAGGGTGGACATGGTCATGACTACGTGGGACACTATTTAAGTTGTGAGCCTAACTATGAAAACAAAGTAGTTTATTATTAAAATGGTATTGATTGCGTTTATTGGTATTGTCTTTTATGATTTATGTACTTTTCAATGTGTCCGAAACACTTTTCATAGCATTTTTTCCACTCAGCTTGAGGCACCTCCAAAGCATGGTTTTTGACCGCACCGACAGTTGCTTTTGGCTACATAAATCGCTGTTCACGCATTTAATTTTAATATATGGGTACCAAAAGAAGTGTTTAGATTCCAAGCAAGAATTTTGTAGCGTTGGACCTGTTTATTTCATATTTTGAGTGTTCGTATAATCCGTTGTTTGACGAGACGTGTAAAAGCTCACATTTTCGTCACGAATGGCGATTCGACTAAGCTGGTCAGTTTCCCTTATTAAACTGAAGACTTTTGGAAAATAAGTGGCTGTTTACTATTAAGAATTAACCATTCTAAATTTCTCTAGTGACGTTTCTGTCATATAATCGGATATTTCGGAAAAATAGGCGACCGTAAGTTTCAAAGTGTTCCGAGCGCATGGGACGTTTGTTGGAATTGGTTCATCTTAAAACACCTCCATAGTCGATAGCTGTTTATTTTCAGGATCATTATGCATAGATCCTTAATTCGTCAACTGTCACAATTTTAAAAACGGCTTTTAAAGTTTCTTAAACGTATTTATCAAACATTTCCAAGGACTAAACGACACAAGCGTCCTATTTAGCGTTTGAAAAATTTTGTGACATCCAGCGAGAAAAAAACGTATTAACCATAATTATGGTCATACAATATTTTATTACTGCTAGTGGAATTAATGCCTAGAATTATCTCAATCATACGATATATCACATGACGAGGTTTCTCTTCCATTTTTCTGACAACATCAATGTTTTCCGCCACTATTAGTCATTTTGGACGACTTTCGCAAAGTTCACTGGTGAGCCAATGACATACAATATTATACTTCTTAAACTAGCGTTTTACAATGGTAAAGGACAGATCTTTATCACCAAAAGTGAAATTTAGCTGACCGCTTCAGTTTTGTACTGATTAACCACGTCGAAAGTCATAATAAATCTTCGCGCGAAAATTTCCGCAAGTCAAACCATGTTTTTGTAGTCAAGATAATTTTCAATTCAATGTTAATAATACAAACGTGCTCAAATGATAAAAAGTTTTGAATAAGGTAGTAGTAAAAAATTTCAAACTTTTCATTAAAAGTATCAGATGTCGTCTAACAACACGTTATGTTGTCGAGGCTCACAACTTAAATAGTGCCCTAGTACTTTAGGAAAATTAAGAAAAAATCTTTTTTTTTTCTTATTTTTCATACGGTATGTATGTAGGTACCTACCAATACACTCGACATCAAATAAATCGCACCTCCTGCGACAAGCACTTTCAAACGTATGCATCCCCACTTCCCACCAATAAAAGCCTAGTTCTGTAGAAGGATCCGGATTCCAGAGTCACTTCTACAAAAAAATGGTATTTACGCTTGAGCCAACTTTTATGGCTATAAAACTGTTAAGTTGGGATTAATCGTTATCCTTCTGTTAAAGAGGACACGTGAGTAATTGTGAACGTGAAACGTGAGTTAATTGATCCCAGAGGTGAGCCCAAAGTGAGGTCTGTTTTCAAGTCACATTTATGGTATGTTAATCATTTATTTAGAAATTAAAATGTGTTTTTCTTTAAGGATATTTATTGGGCTTTCAAATAACACCAATGAGGGCTATCGTTTTAGCGCTCACCAGTTAGTGCCACTGTAGAGTAAGGTCCTGTCACTTGCTAGTAGCGAAGACAGTGGCACCAACTGGTGAGCGCGAAAGTGGTAGGAGGACTATCGGATTTGCACTCATCAAGATGGCGCCACTGTAGAGTAAGGTCCTGTCAATCGCCAGGGGTGCCAACTGTTAAGTATAAAAACGATAGCCCTCATTGATATTGTTGGGGCACCACGATTGTGTCAGAAGGAAATCTTTAAAGTTCGCGTCGCGGAAGGTGCGATTCATTTGATTTTGAGTGAATTTTACACCCTACGGCGCCGGCTTACGGAGACGATGTAAATTCACAATTGTGAAACAATGACAGTGAACTACAAAACTATTTCAATACATACTGCGTTATTTATCTACTATGCAATAGCATTACTTACAAGGTGTATGAGTCCAACGACTACAGCTGCTGTTCGCAGCGACATGAAACAGAATCCATCTGCTGTGCACATCTTTAACCTGATTTTAAAAGAAAAAAAGTGTTTTTAACTAGAAGAAGACATTTTATGTGTACCTAATGAATTATATTAATAGATAATGTTTCAATACAGGTGAATGTATTGTAATCATCAATTGTAATGACTCAAATATGTACCTTGTACCTACCTAATGCAATTTTTTATTAAAAGTCAGTTAATCACACAAAATCTTACCATCATAAAATAAATTATCCAAATTTTCTTTCTTTCTTTCAAATATGTTTTTATATTTTGTCCATATTTTATTTAAATTAAACAATCTTAGATTAAAACAACAAAATAAGCCTAAAAACACTAAAAATTATCAAAACGTAGAAAAAATCAATCAAATCAAGATGACAATGTCAAATCAACAGGATCAGCCAGAGCCTGTGCCAGAGCAGACATACTCTCTAATCTGTGGCCAGAGCGTTGAAAGTCCAAAGCAAAGAAAATATTTACTTTCTGACTTCTTTTAAGTCTTTATTTTGGTCCAAAGCCGTTATAAATTTGACAAGAGAAATATTTGTCCAAACCATAGTCCAATGTCCAACGATTTTGAAACGTCAAGAGGTAAAAATCAAAAACAACCCATAGTAGCGCCCCCTGTAAATGTCATAATTATAGCCTGACCAGGAACATAAAAACCCTCGCCATGTTGCGGAAAATTAATGGTACTAATTTCTTTTAATGGCAACAGTAACTGAAAACTTCATTGACATGTCACCTTGCATGTCAGTCTATCGCTGTCAAAGTGTAAACAAACTTTATTTTAAATGTGCGCAATTGATTTTGTGAATTAAATTGCTAAAATCTTTTAATAGTCGTCAAAGAAAAGTGGTTCACAATGTGTTAAAGTATTTGTCGAAGAGAAATACTAAGGGTTCGGACAATATTTTCATTGAATAATGTTTCCGACAAAGGTTGTCAAATTGACTGACATGTTTATCGTATAGTACAGTCAACTATGAAAATTAGCTGTGGTTTGTTTCAACTACCTATTTTAAAGTTTTTTGTCACTTTGTAAGTATTGAATTTTATGGAATTGGGAAAGAAGTACCGAGTTTGAAGCGTTCATGAGCAGACATTGTAGTTGAATATTCAAGTCAGAATTTGATTATTGATGAATAATAATAAAATCCTACTTGCTCGATTGATGGTTTCATTTAATTTATTTAAACCAGTTTACCTATAGTATAATACGTTTTTGTTAATTTATGAAAATATTAAATAAGCCTATAATCCTGAATCCTGATACATAAAGTTAGCCTATTAATTTAATACAGGTACGACTGTACCCAGTGTTGCACTATCAAATGCAATTGAAGCGCCTCTATGCCAGGGTTTTTATGTTCCTGGTCAGGCTATATATGGTTGTCCAACGTGGCAATAATCGGAACTAATATAATATTGATGATACATAAGATTATGATTACGTAGGTAGGTACACAAGATTGATCATTTGTAACTGCGTGAATCGTACCTGACACTGACTTGCAAACAAAGTAAGAAAATTTGAAAATTTCGCGTCTACCTCAACGTATTCATCTTTCATCCTTTTCAAATGGCACGATATAATTTCGTCTACATTTCCAAGTAACATATCTGCCCATCTATGTTTTTCTTAAGATAAATGGGTAAAATGTTTTGGCTAACATGGCATCCCTAAATTCACTCACACAATAGACAAACGTCAAAATTTTGCGTCACAGTTTTGTTGTAGCGCGAGTTCCGTCCGCCTTTTTTTATAGGTCCATGCCTAAAAATTATCAAAACGTAGAAAAAATCAATCAAATCAAGATGACAATGTCAAATCAACAGGATCAGCCAGAGCCTGTGCCAGAGCAGACATACTCTCTAATCTGTGGCCAGAGCGTTGAAAGTCCAAAGCAAAGAAAATATTTACTTTCTGACTTCTTTTAAGTCTTTATTTTGGTCCAAAGCCGTTATAAATTTGACAAGAGAAATATTTGTCCAAACCATAGTCCAATGTCCAACGATTTTGAAACGTCAAGAGGTAAAAATCAAAAACAACCCATAGTAGCGCCCCCTGTAAATGTCATAATTATATGGTTGTCCAACGTGGCAATAATCGGAACTAATAATCCAGTATATATAGCGCCCTCCTGACAATGTCATACAATGTCATAGCTGGGATATATTTTTACGATTTAAATAAATAAATTACTAACTTCATTGTCGCCGTGCGTATTTCACTAATATTGAACGTAAGTTCTTGTTTTAATACTGTTCTGATTGATAATTATAATTATCCCAAAAACTCTTACTTAAGTTCCTGGGATATTAGAAAAATTATGGCTTCTTGTACACGCTACACGCTAAGAAATTTTACCGTATAGCGCGTGTCCCTGTTTCAAAAACCGGGATAAAAATATCCTATGTCCTTTCCCGAGACTCAAACTATCTCTATACCAAATTTCACCAAAATTGGTTCAGTGATTTTGGCGTGAAAGCGTGACAGACAGACAGAGCGAGTAGGAATAGGGATTTTACAAGCTTTGTAGGTACGTTTGTCTGTGCAAGTTTTTTGTTACTCATAGTAGATACACTATAACTAGGTACCTACACTTTTTAGGAACCCCGGTGAAGCACGAACCTTGTTTAGAATCACTGAATACTTAAATTACCAAGGATAAAAGTTTAATTTAGTTTTAATTCACAGACATAATGGAAAACCAGGAGCACATTTTGAATTATGCTCGTTTTGACGCCATTGCGAATATTGTAAGTATTATTATTTTCGTTTTGATGTGACAAAGCAGGTTTTGGTTTTCAAGTAGTAAAAACTGATGCTAAATTAATGCAAACTCGTGAACACACACATCAGACTGTATATTTTTATTGTAGAGACGCTTCAATTACTTATAGGTAACTACTTACATACATTACGTACTACTGAGTTTGTACAAACGTATGTAGTACAATTGTAGTACCTACTTACATAGAGTTCGTACTTAGAACGCCAACGTGCTATGATGTGACGATTCGTAGTTGGCTCGGTGTACGTACGATTACTTGGTGGGTCATACGGGTGGATCCTATTTTATCCATTGCGTACCTATATCTGTTTCAGTCAAAACTCATAATCGGTCAAAACAACTTTTGACTGCAAAAATCAGTCAAAAGTGATTTTAACTTAGTCAATATCATTCTGTTTGTTTGATTTTTCCAGAAGTGGTTTTGACCTTAGATTAATAAAACCTAGATAGATAGTCAGTGCACGAAAGGTGAGGCAGATTTTAGTAAGCCAGAATGGCTTACTCGTAAACGTCACATGAACTGTCAAAGTGAAAAATTGGTAAACACGTCCGACGACTTTTAATTAATTAAGACGGTTTGTGCTGTGAAAGGGTGTCTAAATACATCAGAAAAACTAAAGAAAGTGACCAGTGTTACATTTCATAAGTAAGTACTACGATTCGACGCGTATTTTGCTTGAATTTGGCTTTCAAAAATTAAATACGGGAATGATACCAGTAACAAGAAAATTTATTTCCCAATTGTTCGCCGTACAAATACACTTCCTTTTTTGCTGAACCGATTTAGCTGAAAATTGTCAGGGAGGTAGTTTAGAGCCAGGAGAAGGACATAGGATACTTTTTATCCCGTTCGAAATAAAAAAAAGTCTGCTTATTTATTGCCATTAAGGCGGAACAAAGTTCGCCGGGTCAGCTAGTATAGTATAATAATGAAATTACTTCTAAAGCTTTTTCACTCTTTGTGGGTGAATTCACTTAATACACAGTATTGTTTTTTTTTTTCAGAAAAGTATAGGAAAAACCAAAGCCTATGTGTACGTTACTATCGCGCTATCTGTTGTTATCCTTGCGTTGGGTGTCTACGGTCTCATAATGAAAAAATATCTTGTAGGTGTATGTTTTATACTCCTTGCTCGTAAGTATGACCAAAAACTCTTATCTGTGGAAATACACTCAACATCAAATAAACCGCACCTTCCGCGACGCGAACTTTAAAGATTTTCTTCTGACACAATCTTGGTGCTCCTACAATATTGGTGTTATTTGAAAGCCCAATAAATAAACTTAAAGAAAAATACGTTTAATTTTTTTATAAACAATTAACAGGTACTTCGTTCGGGAAACTACGTAACATCTTTTCGTCCAAAATACCGCAGTGCCTGAAGACGAAAGTCTACAACCAATGTGTGTTACCAGTGATAACTTATGGCTCGGAAACGTGGCCTCACTATAGGCCTTATAAAGAAGCTCAATGTTGCACAGCGTGCTATGGAGAGGGCTATGCTTGGTGTTTCTTTGCGAGATCGAATCAGAAATGAGGAAATCCGTAAACGAACTAAAGTCGCTGACATAGCCCGACGGATTAGCAAGCTAAAGTGGCAAATGGGCAGGGCATATAGTACGCAGAACTGACGGCCGATGGGGCAGCAAGGTTCTGGAATGGAGGCCGCGTACCGGAAAACGCAGCGTGGGACGTCCACCTACAAGGTGGACCGACGACATTGTAAAGGTAGCAGGGAAGCGCTGGATGCAGGCCGCTACTAACGGAGCAACATGGAAAGCATTGGGGTAGGCCTATGTTCAGCAGTGGACGTCCTATGGCTGAAATGATGAACAGGTACTTACCATAAAATTAAACGCGACTTGAAAAAAAGCCAACCTCTGGGACCAATTAGACCAATTTTTGTGGTTATAAAACCAAATAATGATCTTCTCACATGTCCTCTTTAATAGCTGGATAGCAACTAATCCCAATTTTATAACCCTGAAACAGTTTCGTAACCCTGAAAGTTGACTCAAGCGTTACTACATGGCGCTTTAAGAAGAGACACTGAATCCTTCTAAAGACACATTTTTAACCGACTTTATTGGGGTAAAAACCTTTCCTATAATACAGGGTGGAAACGATAAGTGATCTCATTCGATTATTTCTAAACTATACAAGATATCGAAAAACTGATTACTGATCCTGAAAGTGCTTCACGAGCTCTTTCTAACGATATCAGTAATAGGTTACAGAATGAACTGGATCCATCCGAAAAAATTCAATGTTTTTAGCCTCCATACTAAATGTATGCCACTATGCCAGCCACACAATGTTAGAAGTGCTAATTTTTTATTTTAAATAATAAACACTTAAAATTAACTCGTAAATTGCATTCTTATTTAAAATTATTCATGGAAAACATTGGTTTTTGGCTTTACTTGCTATAATATTATCAAGACATGAGTGCCATGACTGTGGCAGTACTAAATGTATGGAAGCTGGTAACATTGAATTTTCGGATAGGTCCAGTTTATTTTATAACTTATTATTGGTATCGTTGGATAGAACTCGAGAAGCACTTTCAGGATCAGTAACCAGTTTTTGGATATCTTGTATAGTTTTTATTATAATGTGGTTTTACTAAATGTATGGAGGCTGGAAACATTGAATTTTGAGATAGATCTAGTTTATTTTATAACCTATTATTGGTACCATTGGATAGAGCTCGTGAAGCACTTTCAGGATCAGTAACCAGTTTTTGGATATCTAGTATAGTTTAGAAATAATCGAGTGAGATCACTTATCGTTTCCACCCTGTACCTATATTGAAGTTTAGAACTAGCCTTTCAAATGGTACCAATATTGGTGGGAAGTGGGGATGCACGTTTGAAAGTGCTTGTCGCGGGAGGTGCGATTTATTTGACACCGAGTGTATTATTAGTATAGATTTGGTACAAAATACTGAAGAAAAAAAAGTTAATTCTAGGTCGTAAAAAACTAATTTAATACTTGACATAAATTGTTAGCTTAACTTGTGTTATGGCTACGCTAACGCTTGTTCCTGAAATAATTAACCGAAGAATTTTCTTGTTTCAGTTCTCTTAATTTTCTGTACGTGGTATTACAACTGGAAGGTGGTGAAAATGTTTTCCGGTAGAAATTAGCTTTACATCTAAAGTACACCAGAGACTTTACTAACGTCAGGGTAGTCGTTAAACCTGTTCTCTAACTTGAGATATCCTACAGGATGAAGAGAGAAAAAAGGCAACGGTTAAACAAATCATTTTGTATGTAGGATTCTATGTTTATATTTTTATTTACTGTGAACAGTTTTAATGTTACATTATTGTGGTCTTAAAAATGCGTTTCATTGATTGATGATCAACCAATATATTTTGGGACCTGATGGTACATTGGACAGTAATTAAACACTTAAAGAATTAGGCAAACTCACCGGCTACCTACTTAGGCGAATATCCTTTGCCTGAGTAGTGTAGTGTCGAAGTAAAGTCATGTCGATATTCAGTAGTGTCGGAGTAATGTTTGTCGGAATAGCATTTTATAGCCGATAAGCTTCTTTTCTCAAAGCTTACTAAAGTAGCCTCGTAAGAATCAGGTACTTAACCCTTTCACTAAATGTTACTTGCGTCGTTAAATGTCAATTATTATACAAACGACTTGTTTTCGTCGAAATCTGTGCACAATAAATCGTTTACCTAACGACGAAAATATAACTCTTAACGATTTTAGCAACAAACTTTCAACTAGAGTTTAATTTTTTGTGATAAGGGGGTAAGTGTAATTGGATGCGTTACGAAAATTTTAAATGTGGTTGCGTTTCTTAACGCTGTAGAGATTTAATTTTGTAAAATCATCTACACTGTGTAAACTACGCCGTAGCGTGTAGTTAGTTCGTAGCGCGTCAAGCAAAGCAACTACTGACGTGAAGTTATTCCAGAAATGTTGTTTATTAAGTCTACTGAACAATAACTGAGGTCTCCCAGTGATCATAACATTATGTATTTCATTTTATAATAATTTTCTGTTCCAGTGAATTTGCCAAGTTGCTTATTGATAACAAACATTGTAAGGCCAAACGAGGAAGTATAGTTGTAAAACAATTGGTTTAATTAACGTTGGAACGTTATTGTTTTATTTGGTTCCTTTTGAGCGGCTAAAACAAATCATTGGGTATGTAGGCTTCTGGGTTTGCATTTTTATTTTCTGTTAAGTTTTAATGTAATAAATGTATGGTCTGAAAATATCTTCCTACGTATATCGATGGTGGAAATATCAATTACTGTAAGGGACAAAACACGACTTTTCAGGAGAGCCAAAAAACGATTTTTTTTTCTTTATGCCTCAATATCTTTTTATGTGATGTTACGATTTAAATCGTTTCTATGGCAAAGTTTCTTAGAATTTTCTGTTCTTTCATAAAATAAACGCCAAATTTTCGAAAAATGGGTAGTTTAAAAGATAGCATGTCCCTTACATTAAAAAAACGAGCTTGACTGTACCTTACAATGTTGAAATTTCACAGTATGGAATGTCATGTATGTTGTAAGGTACATTTAGGAATAAATACTACAGTAATATTATTGTAACTTGACAATTTTAACATTGAAACCTGATGTAAGTAGAGGTTGCATTCGAGTTTTCATTAACAAAACGAAGAGAAGAGATAGAAACAAGACAACTTAGTGTTCACAAATGCAGTGGGCATCAAATACACATCACCAACAAAACATTTAGTCACTGATGATGCCTACGTCTGCATTTATGAACAAGTTGTCTTGTTTCTATCATTTTCTGTTCATTTTTACGCAGTTAGGTTTTTTTTCAATCATCGTTCATTCGTTTTAGCCGAATGACGTCCATTGCTGGACAGAGGTCTTCCGCCAAGGATTTCCACAATAACCGGTCCTGCGCCGCCCGCATCAGGTTAAACTAGTACGTACCTTGGCAAGTTGCGTATAGTGACAACTACTTATCTAATGTGGTTATTTTATTTCATTTTTAGAGCCGCCGTATCATTGGACTCAAGCAGTTGCCACGAGACTCGTTCCAGTGGCAGCTGACTTCAAATTCACATTTAGGAAGTCACTCAGTAAGTATTTTTCACAATTAACATTGAAATCTTCGCCTCTATAATCTTATTAGAAGCTCTTTTGACCCGGAGGTCCTGTGATCGATTCAATTCCCCACATAGTTAGTCACTGTTGTTTGTTTGTTTGTCGTACTTAGAGTTGAAAAGCTCCTTTTTATTGCATACTCTAAACAAATTGAATTATTGTTACAGGTACTGACAGCTGTCCGAGCTCTCCAGCCCCGGTCAAACCGGCGCCCCTGCCTCCTCTTGGCTCTACGCCGAGGAGGCAATCCCGGAGGAGGCTGATTATAATAACCAAAATAAGGAAAATTGACTTCGACGTGCCGGAGGAATAATTAGAACGAATTTTTCCATGTGTGAACCTTAACTGTTTAAGTTAATTTTAATCGTATTGAATGTAAATATTTGTGCTATTTAGTGTGTTAGCTTCTTCTGTTGTAAAGTTTTTAAAAGTTGTATGTTTAATGGTGAAATAAAATTAGGTATTCATAATATCTGCACTCTTTTATTTTATTAAAGCTTTTAAATTAGAAGTTATCCTACACTAGAGTTGCCAGTAATAGGTACCTTTAAAAGTCCCTCAATGGGTTTTCAACTTTACAATTCAATCAATGCCTAAATAGATTAAATAAAAAGAGCTAAGTACTGAGATTGTTACTGTGAAAAGCATAATTGCACATTATTATAATTGTTTACATATTATATAAAAACATAGCACTAATTGAGTAAATCGAAAAAAGGTATGTTCCTTATGCATTTCTTTTGGACTGGCTACAAAATCTTATATTAAATCGAATCATTAAATTTTAATATCAAACATAAAACAGCAACAAAGTAAAAAATGTTGGTGTGTACCAGCCAATACCTAAAATACAAATTATATTACAATATTATCACTAGCTATAGTAACCACTTGTTTATCTATAGATACCTAAGCCCGAGACAAAGATTCAAAATTCTTAGAAACACCAGTAATCACTTTTATTTTTTGTATACAGCCCTCGTGCTATTTTTGAGAGCGATAAGGCAGCTGCTGTGCTATTGTTTGTTTGAAAAAGATTAGTTGTTTGTAGTACCTTGCAGCACTTATTTTGTGCTTGCAGTCTTTTAGACATTACAGGTGTAAAAGATAGTAGCGAACATAAACAATAAATATTGTGACCCATTTCCCACACACAGATTAGCGATAACGAAGGTTCTATAGTTTATGAAGGATTCCGTAAGCTTGGGGGTAACAAAGGTTTATTGTTTAACGCTAATTTCTGCAAACAACTGAGTGATAAGAAAGGTTATTTTTATGACCAATTTATTTTTTATATGCTTAACTAAAGCGATTACATATCGTCGACTTAAAATCCCCTTATAATTACTCAATAATAGACATTAGTTTACTAAACATTCTAAATT